CTTTTATACCCATCCCCCCAACCTCCTCCCTTCTAGCAGCCATTCTTTATTAGAAGATAAAGTCAACCAAATTTGTTGAGTACCTGGAAGCAGAGGATGGGAGAGAGAGGACTTAAGCATTCCTTCTAGGTTTCTGTCTTGGGTCACAGGGTGAATGCTTATATATTTCAGGAAATAGGGGAATCTTGAGGGGTTTCCAGTGGAGGACATGTTAGTTCAGTGCCTCTTAGTACAGTTGCTGCTGCTGTAGCTGCTTTGCTCATAGCCTTCTCTGCTGGGAAGCAGCATTATACCTCACATGGGGTGGGCGCCTGGTGCAATGCAGCGCATCCAAAGGCTACCCTGATAGTGGCCAGGAGGAATATACGTTCCTCAGCAGAGACCATCAGCGTGGTTCTTTCTGAGATGTGAACTAGGAGGTAGAGCAAACTGGTAGCCGAGTGCAGTGGGAGAACACAGCACCCACGCTGATAAAAGTAGAAATGCTTTGGGTCAAAATTGAGGATAGCTTCTTCTAAAACATATTTGAACTAAACAAGACCACAGATCGGCTATGCATCTGGAGTAAAACACCTTGGTCTCATAAAGAATCACTTTTATTGCATTGTTTGACCTGCATTCATTCATTGCATGGGTGGCTTAGGCTGATCTGCACGTTCCGTTTATTGTGAGGAGACACTGCACTACAATCTACAGTGTTTGCCTTTTGAGAGAAAAGGGATACTCTTATCTTAGGTTGCAGGTCATGGGAAAAAAAATATTTCTCAGGGCATTGTCTCTGCTTCAGAAGGCCACCTCACCCCTGATCACACGGTATTCCCAGGCATAGAGAAGACAAAAGCGGGCTGGGTGAGGGGAAAGAGTGAATTGGGCATGAGGTGGTAACAGCCCAGTGGAATCTGGGAAGAGGGAATGGATGGCCTTGGTTAACTATACTGAAGAAAGTAGAAATCAGTATCTACAGTCACTTAAATAAAGGAAGAGTTATTCACCATTCCAGTGGAGTTACCATACTCATCAAATGTAGGAACCACATGCTTGATGCACTGTCAGGATCTCCCTGAGCTCGCGCTTATCAGCCACGTGTATCGCAACCGTTAACCGTACCACTGGTTCAACCCGTGGCTTCCAGAATTCATGCAGGGCGCTTAAATCAGCAGCTGGAGTTGTGATAAGGAGGCAAGACAAGGCTATATCCTTGGATACTCTCCTTCAGTGATGACATCACCACCAGCCAGTTTCTCATGTCACTGGAGGCTGGCACCTGGGAGTCATCCTCACTCCCACCACATCCAATGAATAACCAACTATTGCCAAATAGCTCTCTAATCTACCCATGTTGTTCCCTCACTGCCTCAGCTCTGGTCCAAACCACCTCTCACCTGGCCGGTTGTAATAACCTTTTAATGTCTCCATATCTCCTCCCAATTTCAATATGTTTTTTGCATTTAATACAGAGTAATTAAAAAGTGCAGACTTGACCACATTATTCCCTGCTTAAAATATTTAATGGCGTCCTATTCATCTTCAGTGAAAGATTAAAATCTTAAGCACGGTCTGTTAGCCCTAGTAAGTCTAATTGGCCTCTGCCCACCTCTCCGACATGATCTTTTCTCTTGTTCTCTGCCCACAAATCGTGTTTTTTCAAATATGCCATATTCCTCCTACCTCAGGGCCCTGGCATTGGCTGTTTTCTATGCATTGAGTTTTCTTTCTGTATCCCTTCCCCACAGATTCCTTTTTGAAAGAACAACCTCTACTCATTATTTAGCTTTAGCTCAACTTTCATTTATTTGGTCAGTTCAAGCATGTGTTAATTGTTCATTTAACTAGTAAGGAGCAGGAGAGAGAGTTTGGGTAATAAGTTACTGGCTAGATTTTGTGAAGCAACGAAAACCTTAATAGCAGTTGACCTTGCATTGTTGGGAGGTATGATGGGTGAATGAGGGCAGGATACGGATAGTTTATGAAGGTTTCTCTGAACTGTTTTTTATAAATCATTATATGATATCTTCCCAGCTGAACTATATTATATTAAATTCTCCTTTCTTGCTGAATAGTGTTTCCTAATGACTTCTATCCTGGTTAGATTCAACAAGTTTTTGTCCACTTTTTTTCCATTTTTAAAATTCCAGTCTTGTATCCAGTTCAAAGGTCTCATCTCCTCCCCTCCCTTGTGCAGGTTAGAACTGTGACTTCAGTGGCTTGAAATGGAGGAAGGTACATCTTCTAATTGTAAGACAACTTCCCCTCTAAGACTGCCCCACATGGTTGGTTGTTTCTAACCTCTCCTTGTGCACAAGACCACACACATTCAGGAGAACTCGCACATGTTCACTGACACACACACGCCTGCCTCAGACTCCTGTCCTGACCGCATCTCGGGAGGCATCTGCGATCACTTTTTTCATTCACTCACTGTTTTTCTGTGGCTTGATTCCCAACATCCTCTCCAGATTTAGAACCTAATGCCATTGCCCCACCTGAGGTGTGGGAGTGAATGAGGATGGGGTGCGCTGCCCACATATGTGCAGCCCCACCTCCAGGCTGTGTGTGAGTGCAGGTAGCACTGTTGCCTGTGGGCCCTGGGAAGCTCCTTCAGTCCGAAGAGCCAAGAGGGCGCGTTCCTGCAGCAGCTGCGGGGCTCGTGAGCGAGTAACACGTGCCCTGATTACTGATGAGCGTGCTCGGGGGTGGTGTGCTGGGGGGCCTGGACCTGCTAAACGGAGCCCATCGTGACCGTCTCTTCCCAACTCCCCATTCAGTGACTTCACACTGTAGCTTGAAATAAGCTGCGTGGGAGTATTTACACCAAGGCAATTAGCAAATCCTTTAAATCAGGAAATCAGGTCTCTTCCCCACCCTGGCAACTAGTTGATCAATGCGTCATGGTTGTTTAGATTGTACAATCATGTATTAACAGTTCTTTTTTACCCGTAATGAAAGGTGACTTTTTTTCTGGTTTACTTTATTGGCAAGTGGGGAAACTGCTGGGCAGAGTGGTTAGGCTTGGTGCAGGCAATATGGAGATATGGTAGCAAGTTTAAGAATAATAATAAAACCAGCTGAAAGTCTGCTTTATTATCTCCTTGTGCTGGCAATTCTAAACTATGTCTGATTAAAATACTTCTCCCTAAGAAAACTTTGGCTGGTTTAAGTTCTAAACAATTGCTGCAGTAAATGTTGAGTTTTAATAATGGCGCGCGTGCGCGTGTGTGTGTGTGTGTGTATTAATAGACTTTATTTTTAGGGCAGCTTTAGGTTCACAGCAAAATTGAGTAGAAGGTCCAGGGAGTTCCCGTGTGCCCCTTCCACACACATACACAGCCTCCTGTCGCCATCTGGCATTGATGAACCTACAGTGACACATCATCACTTAAAGTCCATAGTTTACTTTAGGGTTCACTCTTGGTGTTACACATTCTGTGGGTTTTGGCGAAAGTCCTTACAGTATCTACAGTATAGAATAATTTTTGCTACCCTAAAATTTCTCCATGCTTCACCTATTCCTCCCTCCCTGATCTTTTCACTGTTTCTACACTTTTTGCCAGAATGTCCTATAGTTCAGGGGTCCCCAAACTCCAGGCTGAAGACCCATACCACTCTGGGCCTGTTAGGCACGAGACTGCACAGCAGAAGATGGGCTTAAATGTAATGCACTTGAATCATCCTGAAACCATCCCCCCACCCCAGGTCCATGGAAAAGTTGTCTTCCATGAAACCGGTCCTTGGTGCCAAAAAGGTTGGAGACCACTGCTGCTATAGTTGGAATCATACAGAATGTAGCCTTTTCAGATTGGCTTCTTTTATTTAGTAATATGTATTTAAGGTTCCCTCTGTCTTTTCATGACTTGACAGCTCATTTCTCTTTAGTGCTGAATAATATTCCTTGTCTGGAGATACCACAGTTTATTTTTCCATTCACCTACTGGGCATCTTGGTTTCTTTCAAGTTTTGGCAATTACGAAGCTGCTATAAACACCTGCGTGCGGGTTTTTGTGTGGACAGTTTTCATCTCATTTGGGTCAACACCAAGGGCTGCAATTGCTGGATTGTTTGGTAAGAGTGTGTTAGTTTTATAAGAAACTGTCAAACTGTCTTCCAAAGTGGCATGTCCCATCTTGCAATAAATGAGAGTTTTACTCCACATCCTTGCCAGCATTTGGTGTTGTCATTGTTTTGGATTTTGTCTCTAATACTGCAATTCAGACCAATTTGTGGGTCCTTTACATTTTCTCCAAACTCAAAAGGGCCCCGATCATCAATAGGATTCATTACTAGTAGTAACATGTAAAACAACAATAACAAAGAAACTCCTCCATCTTGGAGTTTTATATTTATCTCTGCCTCCACCTTAATAATGAATTCCACAATAGTGGAGTCTTCTTTATCTCTTTCTTCCCAGCTCACTGCTTTTACACAGGAACTAAAGAAATTAGACTTCCACATAGTTCAACTTTGGCTCTTATATTCTTAAACCAAACAAAGTACATGTAAATTCTCCTAAAATGTCCTGTCTTTTCTAATTTCCTTCCATTGTTGATTTCAATCTGTTCACTCAAATCACCTTCTCTACTATTTGTCACTGTTGAAATCTAACTCGTTTCACAAGGCACCACTTTAAACTCACTCATGAATTTCCCCTGAATACTCGGCTTCACCTCCTGAGTTTCTTGTTTCAGTGCTCCATATTATAGTTTTTTATTTTATATTTTTTAAATTTTTTTTTAGTGCACTGGTTATAGCCCATTTTCAAGGGCAGGTTCTGAGTTGTCATTATCAATTCATCACTTAGTATATTGCATGTTCAATCATTGGTTAAAGAACAAATGAGTCAGATAACTGCCAATGAACTTTATTAGAATCTGCTTTAAGGTCTTCTGAGGATTAAGGAACCAAAATGGAGAAGACGTGGACTTCTTCACTTAATGTATTGGAATACATTAAGAAGTAAATGAATGGAAAATTGTTCTTGATTTATGTGGAATTGGTCTTGGGAATTAATCATTTTCTACATACGTATTATAATCTTGAGGCAGAGTGACTGCATATGTCACTGGCTTTTGACGAGTTGGCTTTGGAATGTTTTTACGTGCTTCCAGTTTCACGATACTGAGGCAACAATATCTCCCATTTTCACATAGAACTTCACGTATTTCACTTATTCTGCACGTTTTCCTACAGTATCCTTGTGTATATTGATCCCAGCATGTCTTAAGTTGTTCAGTTACTGTGCACATAAAGAACAGTAGGCCAAGGTTAGTGTTTGAGACTGAAAGGCAGCTTTGGACATGGGGAGGAGAGAGGATATTTGTAGGGATTAGGTGTTTGGGAGATCACAAGGCAGATACTCATAATATCCCATGAAGGATGCCCCCAAGAAGGTAAACCTCAGTGGGTATGTCTATTTGATCATTCATATTTAGTTCCTCCAAGGTCTTGGGCTTCCAGCCAACATCTGATGGACTCCACCAAGAGCATCCAATCTTGTTTGGGAAAATAAAGGAGCTGAATCCTTGACTTCAGACCATGGCACTGTGCGCCATCTGGGAACCGCAGCAAATCTGTCCCCACTTGAATGTCCCCAGGGCACTAATTTTCTTTTTAAACCACTTTCCCATCTCTAATACTTAGATAATAATAATTATTTACTATGTATTCATGTTTTTTCTATTTTGAAAGAATTATTTCATTTTCTTTTTCTAAAAATTGTTCCAATACATTTGTCTCCATTTACCCACCACCACTCTCCCCTGGCTCTACGTATTCATGTTGATCAAACTTTGCCCTTGAGTTCATACTCACTACCATGGCCAAGAATGACTTTCTTTTTGTTCAGATGGGTTTTTTTTCCCTCAGTAATCTTCCTCCCTTCTTAATTCTTACCATTGTACATTTTTGCCAGTGCATATCTTCCTTTGGCTTCTATGTCATTACAGTAATCTTGGACTTGTTTTATCTCTCCCTGACTCCTCATTCTTCCTCTACCAGTGGCAAGAATGCCTCCACTGTTCAGCTCCAGACTTTTGCTCACTTTGATATATATTCTTTTCTTTAGTGATTCTAAATACTTTGAATCACCTTAGAGTTTGGATGTTCATGTTTTGGTTTCTGGGCTTGTGCAATCTTCTGGAATAGACTCCAGAAGATGAAAACTAAGAACAAAGATGCTGCCTCCAACCCCAGGTTCTAGAACTCCATTGATTTTTAGATTAGGGTGCCAGGGACAGACCATTCCTATTACTGTAATAAGAGATAAATATAATAGATCTGGTTTTGAAAGAGAAAATACAACTAATTTTAAGTTCTCAGTATGTGCCTAAACCCTATGCTAGATGTTTCATAAATGTAATATCATTTAATAAGGCCCCGATGACTCAGGTATCATTATCTTTACCAATGAGGAAACTGAGGCTCAGAGAATCTTCAACATTTATACAAAGTTGACAAACTAGTAGTAGATATTGAAAGCCTATTTCTCCAAGCCTGTTCCCCAAAGTTTGTGCTTCTTCCACTATTCACACACTGTAGTATAATAGACACATATATGGAAGACAGTACAGCTGAGTGCCGGAGTAAAAAGTTGTATCCAAAGAAATAGGGCATCCCTAGATACTGGGCTCATTCCTTTCTACAATGAGACCTTCCCAGAGGAAATTATGGCCTCTTTTCAGCTCTTAGTCCTCCTTTTAAAGAACAGCACCATGGTAGAAGGCCTCAGGAAGAGGGGATTTCTGATGACATTTGGTAGACTTCCACAATCCCCATGGGGCATAGTTCCTTGTATTGTGAGTTATAAAATTACGTTGGGTTCCTAGGAATATTCTATCCTATTGTTGATTTTTTTGCATGAGCCCCTGGAAAACATTGGATTACCTGTGGGTTTCTGGAACAGCAGAATTGCAGTGATTAGCAGGAGCCTCATGGCCAGGCTTCTTGAAGGAGGTGGCAGCCAAAGCTCTTGGTCCAGTGAATTGCACACCGTGCCACCTCCCTCAGAGACTTGGATTCTTATGCACTGAACCAGAACAGATGGTATGATATGAAGTGTGCCCCCAAACTTCCCATCTGTGGATTTTGCATCATGTGGGCAGGCACAGGAAATTTGAGGTCACTGTCTTCTCCCCACATGGAATCAGAGACACAGCATGTTCTATTGCAACACACCTGATGCCATTCTGTGGACCATGGTGGTGGGAAGAATCAGTGCTTTCCTTACTTTGGTTGTCTTCCCAGATAGACCAAGGTCTATCTAGTGCAGGTTTAGGAAGCTGTATGAGTGATTTTTTTTACCCAGGCTTTGATTTCTATGGCATTATAATTCTTTTGAAAGACTATCAAACTTTCTTTTGAATTGCTTTCAGTCATTTTCATGCCTAAGACCAACCCAGAAATTCTTTTGTATCATGACAATTCATCTTAAATTCCAACCAAGGTACTGGTATTGATAAAATAAACTTTTGGAGATTATTACCATCTCTATAGCACTTAGCTCAACAACCTCTCACTCAGGCTCTGACTGTACATAGTTCAATACAGTAGCCTCTGGACAGTATAGGTAAATTAACTGAGATTGATCACCATGAATTTATAGTGGTATTTAATGTACGCTGTTGTGTAATGCCACCGGCAACACTTGTCTATCTAAATAGAGAAATGTACACAATGGATAGCTGGATAAATACAGGGTTATGGTGTGCCCATGAAATCAAAGGACTAAAGAGAAACAAAGGAGTCCTAGTTATTGGCTAGAGAGTTATTGAAGTAAATCATGGACACTATTCTTGATAAGGAGAGAAATACAAACAGGGCGGGGCTCATAAATTGACCTTTACGTTTTGAAGGTGAGAGACTTTATTTATACTAACAAAAGATATTGCTTGTGCAATGGAGAGAACATTCCGTATCTAACCCACATTGTCTTCTTCACCAACTTTCTTGATTAGAAAACTCATATTTCTTTGTTCCACACACTGTGCCTTAGAAAAATGGTGTCTCTCTACTCCCACTTCAATAATGTGAGTGTGTTTTCTCTCCCATGTGTGCATGCATGTGTGCCTGTGTGTGTCTTCTCTGTCCCCTGCTGTTGGCCTATGAGGCTAGATCCTCTAGATTGATACCATAGAGAGTCTTATTTTTCCCTACATCCTCTTAGAGCTTACACAGTAGGTGTGCCTATGAGCAAGACAGGATGAATAGAGAACATGACTTTTCTTTATAAGGAAGAAATCATCAATCAGCACTTACTGTTAAATCTAAGGATCTCAAATACTTGGGACTTTCAAAAGTACAAGTTGTTTTAATGTACTACTTATAAAAGGACATAAGTATAATAAATTTCTGGATAGTTCACCCACCAAGTTCTATGGAGTTCAAGAAGTAAGAGAGCAAATAACAGTTGACCATTGAACCTTGCGGAGGTTGGAGGTACCAACCTCCCACACCTGTAGACACTAAAAGCTATTCTGCAATATATCAAATAGTTGAAAATCCACCTGTAACTAGGTATTTGATTATTTAAATGGGCTAGTGAATGAAGTTGTGTTTGTTTGAGTTTATTTTTCTCTTTATGTTAGTTAAAAACAATATTTAAAAATAGTTTTATTGTGTAACATGTGCTTCATTGAGAAGAATCAGGAAATACAAAAACAAAGAGAAAAAAGACAATAACGAGCAGCATTATGGTGTCTAAAGAAAACGCCTGGAAACATGTTGTATAACATCCTAAAATTTTTCTTTAATAGAATTAAAATAGCTTTATTGTTTAACCCAAATATCGCTTACAGCATTTTTCTGATTAACAGGAAAGATGTAGTAAAACTGTCTCACACTTCCACCAACTGCCCGGCCTTTGAAAGTCTGGGGTCCTTTAAACCTCTGCTCACTCTGGAGGTGTTCACATTCTTGGGGATACTCTGGCCTTCAGAATTCTCTGTCTTCATGCTTAACTCTGAGTTGTACCATATCCACCCTCCCTGGTGCAAAACTCTCCCTTAACTTCCAGCAAAAATCAAATCACACATACCAAGCATTTTGGAGATTATCAGAATTTATACAAGAGTTTGGGAAGAAGGTTACTGAGAAGGTGATTACCTGGCATTACACCATCAACCTTCAAAACAACTGGAAGACATTGGAGGTCTTAAATGAAGTGTCTTCATCCCAGTAAGGGTGAGTTCTCTTTGCTGCTCCCATTCTGAACGTCTCATTAGCTCACTGGCTTTTAAAAGTATTTTTCCCTTTTCCATCTCTTCCACTCAAACCACCTTTTCAAAATTGTCCCCAAGCTATTTGGTATATTGCAGAATAGCTTTTAGTGTCTACTGGCTACACGAATATTTCCTTGGCATTAATTCCTAGAGGCAATTAGATAGATTAATGGAATAGGACATTCAGAAGACTTGTAGTAAATGTCAATTTGGTTTTCAAAACAGTTGTACAAATTTTGCACTCTATCTGTAGTTCAGGAGGTGTGTTTTCTTAGCCTCCTTACCAACACTTGACATTATTATTTCCTTTTATTTTTAGACTTTTCTAGGGCAAATTTTAGTGGCTAAATTGATTCAGATAATTCAGGTGAAGGGCTCCTGCCAAAAGTTATCAGTGTGTCTCAACCTCATTGATACTTCATAACAACAGTTTTACGTTTGCCCAGTCCAACGCTGAGGCAGCAGCAGCCAGAACTAGGATGAATTTAATGGATGATTTCTCACACCCGGGGAAGGTATTCTCATGCGTAAGTGCTGCCCCTTCATCAGAGAGGTGAATTTTCTCTTAGCTTAGGCAGCTGCCACACTTATGCCTGAGCAAAGGGTTTCCCCACCCTGGGCCCTGTGCGCTAGAGAGCCCTACTCTGGCCCTCAGCTGGCTGCATCCCTCCCTGTCGTACAAAATGTCACTGACCAAAGGGGTACATTAACCGAGAAACTGCTTTCACCGCTTTATCCTTCTAGATTGTGTTCTGTGTAACTGGGACCCAGGATCCATACCCAAGCTGTCTGCAGCCTCTTTCCCAAAACTGTATGTCTCTGCATGTGTCTTCCCAAGGACCCCCATGGTGTGGGAAAGAAACAGAATGGGTAGCAAAGAGAATCAGGTTGCAGGCTGGAACCTGGAGCCCTGCCTTTGGTTTTCTTTGGGATGCCATGTTCTGGGACAAAGTTTCAAAGAGCCTGGAAATATAAAATTTGAACTTGGCTTTTCAGATATATGTTTCTCGGTAAGAGGATAAAATGTATTTTATTTAGTAATTCATGAGTGTGATTTATAAGTTTTAAATACTTAAGGTATGTGGGCTTTCATTTGCATTTTTCCCCAGGCTCCACAAATATAAGGGTATTCTTGCAAGTGAAGTTTTCTCTTTCATTTATGTGACTGGTTTTTTTTTTCCTAAAGGTATGGCGTATATGCAAATAGTTTTCCTAGGTAGTTTCCTCAAGAAATGAGGCAGTGAAGTTGCAGGTTACAGAATCAACATAGAGAAATCAGTTACATTTCTAAATAGTAACAATAAAACATCTGAAAAAGAAATAAAGAAAATGATCTCATTCACAGTAGCATCAAAAACAATAAAATACTTAGGAATAGATTTAACCAAGAAAGTAAAATATCTGTATTATAAAAAATATGACTTTGAGGAAAATAACTGAAGAAGATACAAACAAATGGGAGGATATCCTAAGGTTGTGGATTGGAAGAATTAACATTGTTAAAATGTCAATACTACCCAAAGCCATCTAAATATTCAATGCAATCCCTATCAAAATTCCAATGGTATTTTTCACAGAAACAGAAATAACAGTCTTAAAATTTTGTATGGAACCACAAAAGGCCCTGAACAGCTACAGCAATCCTGAGGAAGAAGAACAAAGGTGGAGGCATCATACTACCTGATTTCAAACTATATTAGAGAGCTGTAGTAGTTAAAATAGTATGGTACTGACATAAAAATAGACACATAGACCAATGGAACGAAATAGAAACTCCAGAAATAAACACTTGCATATATGGCCATCTAATCTAATATTTGACAAAGGAGGTAAGAATACTCAATGGGAAAGGAAAGTTTATTCAACACATGATGTTGGGAAAACTGGACAGCAACACGCAGAAAAATAAAATTGGCCAGTTAATCTTACTACTTACAAACATTAACTTAAAATGGTTCAGAGACTTAAATGTAAGACCTGATATTGTAAAAATCCTAGGAGAAAGCAGGGAAGAAGCTTCTTGACATTGATTTGAGTGATGATTTTTGGACATAATGCCAAAAAACACAAGCAATAAAAGCAAAAATCAGCAAGTGGGACTACATCAAACTAAAAGGCTCCTACAGAGAAAAAGAAACAATCAACTATATGAAAGGCAGCCTATAGAATGGGAGAAGATATGTGCTAAGCCATGTATCAACTAAGGGATTAAAGCCAAAATATATACATAACTTGTACAACTTAGTAATATTAAAAAACCCAATTCAATTAAAAATGGGCAGAGGAATTAAACAGACATTTAAACAGAAAATGGCAGATGGAAGCCACTCATTATCAGTAATTACTTGAAATGTAAATGGATTAAATGCTCTAATCAACCGAATGATAGATATTGGCAAAGTTGATTAAAAAAAACAGATCCAAACATGATTCAAATAGATGTTGCCTAAGAGAAACTCACTTTATTTTTTAAAAGATTTTATTTATTTATTTTTAGAAAGAGGGGAAGGGAGGGAGAAAGAGAGGGAGAGAAACACTGATCGGTTGCCCCTTGCACACGCCCCATCTGGGGCTGGAACCCAGGTTTGTGTCCTGGTTGGGAATCAAACCGGTAACCTTTCACTTTGTGGCACAATGCTCAACTGCCTAAGTCATGCTTGTCAGGGCAAAGAGCGTCACTTTAGATCCAAAGACACAAAGGGATGGGAAGTAAAAA